GGGGGAGCAGCGGGGCCCAGAGTCCCCCTGGGGACTCAGCCAGGGCCCGAGGGACTCCTATGTCCCCTGCGTCCCCATCCCCGCTGCCAAGCAGAAGCTGGCCAGGGTGGGCACGGGCAGCGGGGGTCCCGTGGGCGCATGGGGGGTGGCGGGTGGTTGCCAAACGAAGGCACTTAATTACTGCGCATTCCATCCCATTTAATTGCTTATTAAATCCTAACCAGCCAATTAGCAGCAGCAATTACAGCTTCATTCAGTGACACAATCGCTATTTTATCGTTTGTTAATCAAATGCTTATTTAGGGCCCTGGTTTATTAACTCTTTCCGCAGTGGGTGCTGGCAGGGTGGGGGGAGTGGGGGCACCTGGCCATGTCTGGGCTGGGCAACCTGGGCACTGTGGGACCGTGCCACATGCCATGTCCCCAGCGCTGCTGTCCCCATGGGGACCCTGCCCTGGTGCGTGGCACCCACAGCAAAACTGGGGGATACCCGACCCCCACAAGGGAAATGTTTGCAGCTCTGAGCTGCCCTGGTGACAGCCAGCCCCCACGTGCCATGCCTGTGCCCGCTCCCAGGCGGGTGCCAGTGGCACAGGACAGGGTGCACCACTGTGCCACCCTGCTGTGACGCCAGGGCACGGGGCATGCACCCTGCCACTCACCCTGTGCCGCCCCAGGGTGCGGCGGGGGAGGGGGGCGGCCCCGGGCGATCACCCAACCCGGGCACACTGGAGGTGGCCGAGCCCCCATGTCCCCACAGGTGCTCAGCAAAGCGCGACCGTGGCCAACCCGGTGTCCGGGGCGTCCCCGGACCTGCTGCCACACTTCCAGTTGGAGCCGGAGGACGTCTACATCGTGAAGAATAAGGCGGTGAGCCTGGCCTGCCGCGCCACCCCTGCCACCCAGATCTACTTCAAGTGCAACGGCGAGTGGGTGCATCAGGGTGACCACGTTACACAGCACAGCACCGACCGCGGCACCGGTGAGCGCCGGCAGGAGGGACAGTGCCAGCCCTGGTCTCAAGGAGCCGCTTGCGCTGCTCTTGGCAGGGGGTTGTGTGGGGCTGGGGACACGGGGACCATTCTTGGCGTGCCGGTGCTGACGTGCTGCCTGCTGGTGGCAGGTCTGCCGGTGATGGAGGTGCATATCGAGGTCACCCGCCAGCAAGTGGAGAAGATCTTTGGGCTGGAGGAGTACTGGTGCCAGTGTGTGGCCTGGAGCTCCTCCGGCACCACCAAGAGCCAGAAAGCCTTTGTGCGCATTGCCTGTGAGTGTCTGCGGGTGCCCAGATGGGGTGCGGGGCACTGCCCCTGGCCCCCCCTCGTCATCCCTATGCCTCCCCAGATCTACGCAAGAACTTCGAGCAGGAGCCGATGGCCAGGGAGGTCTCCATCGAGCAGGGCATCGTGCTGCCATGCCGCCCTCCCGAGGGCATCCCCCCAGCCGAGGTGAGCCCCCATAGTACGGCAGGTCAGGATGTGGCTGGGGTTGCCCCTTGCTTGTGCGGATGCCATGGGTGCCCTCTGGAGGGGGTGGCCCAGCTGGATGCCCGGTGACGTCCCCGTGCCCCACAGGAGGAGTGGCTGGTGTACGAGGAGCTTGTGGACCCGGCGCTGGACGCCAACGTCTACGTGACGCCGGAGCACAGCCTGGTGTTGCG